AGTTTCAATGAAGCCAAGTTTATCACCTTCAGCATGTTGGTGTTCTGCAGTGTCTGGGTGTCCTTTGTTCCCACTTATTTAAGCACAAAGGGGAAATACATGGTGACCATGGAGATCTTTTCCATCTTGGCCTCCAGTGCTGGCTTATTGTTCTGCATTTTTTCCCCAAAATGCTATATTATTGTTGTTAGGCCTGAACTGAATAGTAGGAATCAGCTAAGAAGAAGGTAACTTTAAAAATTGCAAAAGATAAAGCACTATGCAGGAAAACTAGGTCACTATTTCATCGAAAGGGAAGTGATGAGGAATCTGTCTGGCACGTCATAATCCAGACTTTACCTTAAATCCATAGTGATAAATCCTCATTGTTTTTCATCTTAGATTATTAGTTTGCATCCTTTCTTCTAAATGCTATATTATTGTAGTGAGGCCTGAAGTGAATAATAGGGAACAGCTAAGAAGGCGAAAGTTACAATCAAAGGGCAACTTATTTATTATAATCCTCATCCATTTAACATGTTCTCCTACTGATTATTGAAGTTTCTCAGCTGTTTACAATGAACCACAAATTTCAGATTGCTATTAGAACTATTATATTAGCAAATGAAATAATGAAAAATAAATAGGTAATTGTTATAATTAACAAATTTAAGAATTAAAAGACTGTTCAGAAAGTTGTGTTGGAAGATTATCTCAAGAAGTGTTGAGGTGCATATACAAAGGGACATTCTACCAACTTCCCTGTACTTCAACTGTGTGGGCTTTGAAGATAACTACCAACCCTTGGAATTTCATCTGGAAATGAATATTCAGCCAGCATAATGCTTCAGCTCAAATGCTATATGTCCTCTTTCCATTTATTTCTTTTAGTACACCTTGTAACCATCTGAGTGACTTATAATTGACAGATACAATAAGAAGACTAAAATACAGCTACATGACTAACCATAAACCATATAACAATCTCAACAATTAAAAACATGAGGTTGGGGAAAACTGCAGTGGTGAAGAGAAGTTAGATTACTTCTTAAGCATTAAAACTTGTGGTGGAAATCTGTGAGAGTCAACTGTAGAGATCAGATAAATCTTCTCTTCTCTTCTCTTCTCTTCTCTTCTCTTCTCTTCTCTTCTCTTCTCTTCTCTTTTTTCTCCT